CTTCTTTTGTTTCTTCTATTCAGCATCAGAAATGAATCCCTAACCAGTGAAAATATATCAGAAAAAAATTCATAGCACCTGGAAATAAAAAGAAAAGTATTACAATTTGTATATTAAACAGCTGTTTAAATGGAAAACCCAGAAAAATCTATACTTGATGTGAGATTTAACACATAAAATTAGTGAAGTAACTGGATGTACAATCATCATGCAGACGTCAATTATATTTCTATTTACAACAACAAAACATATTAAAGAAAATTGAAAAATAAGTGCCATTTACAAAAGTATGAATGTGAAATACCTGTATTTCTATATGACTTCAATCCCCTCAAATCTGATAGAAATTAAAGAAAACCTAATATATTGATGGACACAGAATGATATTGATTAGAAAAGTCAGTGTTATAAAGAAATCTTAATATTTAAACACTACTTTAGATATCACATTCAGTCCCAAATATAAATCCAGGAGTTTTTAAAAAATAGCTTTATTAAGATGTCATGTATACAGCATACATTTCATCCATTTAATGTGCATAAGTCAGTAACTTTTAGTATATTCAGAGTTATGACTATCACTACTGAAATTTAGGAAGTTTCCATCATCCCAAAAAGAAACCGTTAACAATAAACAGTCACTTTCTATTCCAACCTTCCCTTAGGCATTGGCAACCACTATTCCACTTTCTGTCTCTATGGGATTGCCTATTACTGATATTTCATATAAACACACTTGCATACTGTGAAACTTTAAGAAAGACTGAATGCCCAAATATAATGTTGAGTAAGAAGAGCAAGACACAACAGCAATGATATCTGTACTTAGTGGTGTGCATATTACATTTCAATAACTGATTTTGAAAACTTTTTCCATTATTGGGACAAATTATGAAATTTATTTTAAAACTTTTTCAATCAAAATATTATTTCCGTTTTATGAAATTTAAAATTACCTGAACAGACTCCAAATTCAGTTGCTTTAATTCCAAAGTTTATGCTTACAAGTATACAGTTGTGAAGCTCCACATCTGTGTGATTTAAGGCCAGATGAGTGCAGCATTACACAGTTATGTTTTCCAATATCTGATTCTGCTATCCTGTGATGGAGAAAAATCCATAAATCCCATTAGATTGCATGGGGACAATTCACGGAACAAGAGCATTTTCCACAAATTGTAAGCAAAGAATATTATAAAAACAGATGATATTTTCCATATAATAATATAATGAGTTGGTAATATGAAAACTGAATGAAATAGTCCATTCATCTGCACAGGGGATATGTTCTAAGACCCCCAGTGGATGTCTGAAATCATAGATAGTACTGAACTGTATATATACTGTGTTTTATCTATACATACACACCTTTGATAAAGTTTAATTTATAAATTAGGCCCATTAGGAGATTAAAACAAACTAATAATAATGAAAAAGAACAATTATAACAATATACCAGCATAAATATTCTTGCATTTTGGGGTCCTTATTAAGTAAACTAACAGTGACTTGAACACAAATGGTACAATACCACCTCAGTCGATCTCATAACTGAGACAGCTGAGTGACTAGTGGACAGGTAACTTAAGCTATGCAGGTATCCTGGATGAAGCAATGATTCATGTCCCAGGTGAGATGGATCCATACACTATATAAAGGATTTGATCACACTACTCAGAACAGTGAACAATTTAAAACTTATGAATTTTTTCTTCCTAGAGTTTTCCTTTTAATAGTTTTGGCTGTGGTTGAGCCTGGGTAACTAAAACCACAGAAAATGTAATTGTGGATCATTCCTTAATATTTATATCAGCATTTCACTAACTTTCAACATCTTTATTTACGGCTATAATTGCACTTAAATTTATTCACAATGTTATTCTGAACCTTTTTATATTCTTCTACTATATAGCATCATTCAAAAAACTTACTTCAATTTGAACGTTGAGCCATTTATTGACACCCATGGATGATCACTGCTGCTACGAGAGACACCAACCCATGAGAGAACTGACAGGGACCCCAGAAGTTGCTAATGGAAAATACAAAATTTTCATTTAAATAATAATTATAAAAGATTTTATTAATTTTTAGGTGCGTTCTTTGAATTCTAAACTTTTATTAATTTTTAAAAGTGCAGGTAATACATTCTTTCATAGGATGCTTAATTTTCAAAACAAAATAAATACATTAAACAAAATAGTAAACTTGAAAACGACTTTTATAGTGTAAAAATCTGTTACAAATTTTTGTAACTTTGACTTAAAAGGAGCTCTTCAATGTTTATGCTTAGTACATTCATTCTTCTTATTTTAATAAGCAAAATTGTGATTCATGTAATTTAATAGTTGCCTGGGTTGGTAAGACAGACACAGTAAGAACTGAAATAAACGTCCTGATACTGCACATGTTTTTCTCCAGATATTCTGATTAAATAAATGTATTTTTCCACCATGTTTCTCATAGTGGAACTTTTCCTTCTTGAAGTTTAGAAGGAAATTGAAAGGTTGCCATTGAGGAAATAAATGACACAGAGGCCAAAAATGGGCTTTTCTGGGCACCACACCACTCTCTAACTAGATAAGCGCTCACTTTTATCTGATTCGGCTTTGGTGGAATGACAACGGTCTTGACCAGGTACATCACTCCTTTTTCTCTGCTACTCCCTACTAAATACAACTCTAAACTCTGCAAGCAAGGAAAGACACATAGGAAGACTCTGAAAGGTGGAAAGAGGATGGCAAAATGGTTTGGGACTCCAGAATCAGGGATCAACAGAGTGTCCGGACATCTTCAGTCCCCCACTCAGCAGAAGAAAGTGAACTAGTCCTCTGTTTCTCAGAGCAACGGGAGGTGGCTCAGCTAAACCCACTCCTGCTCTGTATTGAAAGCAACACCAGGCAAGGCTGGTACCACTGGCAAGGATGATCTAGCAGGAGACCTGCTACCAATTAGGAGCTAGAGGAAGTGCTTCTCCTCCCAAACCAAAAGACACCAGGGTAGGTGCGGGCGAGAGCGATCAACAAAGGAAACCCATGACTACACGTGCACATCCAGGTTCCTTTTTGTCCCTGAGGACATAAGACTCCCTTCCCTATCCAGAGACACAGGACTGAATGGATTGTAAGTGTTCTATGTACATCATGCAGCAATGAACAGTAACAAACAACAGCTAACTGCATTATTGCACAAATATCATATAGGAGTAAAAGAAGACACACATGAAAATGCACACTGTATGATTCCCTCGACATAAATCCAGAAACAGGCAAAGCTTATTTATCACATTAAAAGTCAATACAAAGGTTTGGAGAGGAGGCAGGAAAAGTGAGGAAGGCATATCCAGGGGCAGGATTGCTGGGGCTGGAAACTTCTATTTCATGATCTGCCTTGTATCATGAATCCATTCACTTTGTGATCAATATGAATGACTATGACATGCTTAGTTTTCTTTATATTTATTTTGGCATAAAAATATTCATAGAAGAATGGGTTTCCATGAAAAGCAAAACTGGAAATCATCAAATGTGCATTAACAGTATATGAATATAAAAATATTATGAAGTCAGTTGAATATTACACAGACTTAAAATATATGAATTAAATATGTATAAACATATGGATGATTTCTACAAATATGATATTGACGGAATAAGCTTTTAGTAAAGTGTTGAAACATTTACGTCTTACCATTTCTTCTTCATTATCTATAGAAAGCAGACTAGAGTTCTTTGAAGCACAGGTCAGCAAACTCTCTTCCCAAGTTCTTTTTTCCTTACCAATGTAATAACAACTGTTGGTATATGTAATCCACTCCTCAGGACAATGGCCACAATCATATGCTAAATAAAGATATGAATTACTATGCAGAACAATATGTTTACAAATTAAAATTATTTTATATATTTGCAAAGCTATAAACACATAGGTACACAATATCTATGCATCCTCATAGGCTGTTAAATATATATTTTAAAACAACTAGTCACTCATACACACAGGCACAATGTAAGGTCCACCTCTCATCCCTTAATTGTGTTCCCATATAAAGCAAACCAGCAAACAAAAATTCACCCTACACATCTTAAACATCACTGAACAAAACTGCTTTTTAAGTATAGTAAAATTATTTATCTCTTATCATCTTATAGTATTAGGAAATTTCAGTTAATTAAATGCAACAAGAGGGTATAATGATTTTAACTGAGTATTTCTACTTATTATTGGAGAAAAGGAATTCCCCTCATGTAATCTTTATTTTATAAACATTTATGGCTTAGTGCTATAGTTTATTCTCCCAAAAATTTTTCTTGTCATTTTGCATCCCTTAAGATAGAGACAAAATATAAACTGTACTAACATCAGAACACTGACAATCATAATGTACCTTTCTGGATTCTTGTATTCAGGGAAAAATTGTTCTGCTCCAGTACTCCAATACCTAGAAAAATTAAAGTAATTCTTACAAAATTAACAGCTAGATAAACCATAATTTCAGTTGCTTACTTTGAAATATAAAATTTAAAATTATTTTAAACTGGAACAATCTGAAATAAAAACGATCTTTAAAACAAATATTTTTAAAGCCATTAGCATAAAACTTCACCATCTCTTATAGTATTTGATTTAACCACTTTCAAAAATTAATTTGTTTTTCTAAATATTTTTTTCTTAAATCGTGTCTTTGAATCATGAAATCATAATACATCTCTCTCTGTGTGTATTATATATACACGCATATTTAACACGCAAAAATAAACAAATATTTTCTACAATTATTCTGTTACTTATAATTTTGAAAAGTTCAGAAGAACCGTATTATCTTGGGGTTCAGATATATACATTAAAAAGAGAATTCTAATCCTCATTATTATGAAATGTTTCAAGGCATTTCCAATCATTACAGTGAAAAGTTCCCTTATAATCTTTCAATAATACACTTACAAGGAATAAGAACTACTGTTTTTAACACAGTGGCCATCAGGACAATGCAAATGATTCCCAGGACCTCAGCAGTGAGCTTCTCTGGAGGTGGCAGTAAACCTGCAGGGAGAGAAATAGAGGCACTGAGAGAGGGGAGATAGAGAGTTGATGAGGTTTACATATAAGAGAACCCACATGCACAGGGAAACATAAAGATAAACGCAGCACACCAACACGGCACAAGTATACATATGTAACAAACCTGCAAGTTGTGCACATGTACCCTAGAATTTAAAGTATAAAAAAAAGCCGGGCGCGGTGGCTCAAGCCTGTCATCCCAGCACTTTGGGAGGCCGAGGCAGGCGGATCACAAGGTCAGGAGATCGAGACCACAGTGAAACCCCGTCTCTACTAAAATTACAAAAAAAATTAGCCGGGCGCGGTGGCGGGCGCCTGTAGTCCCTGCTACTCAGGAGGCTGAGGCAGGAGAATGGCGGGAACCCGGGAGGCGGAGCTTGCAGTGAGCCGAGATCGCGCCACTGCACTCCAGCCTGGGCAACAGCGTGAGACTGCGTCTCAAAAAAAAAAAAAAAAAAAAGTATAAAAAAAAAAAGAGAGAAACTCTGGCCTCTAAATCTACATCTACTATGGTAATGTTTCTCTCAGAATATACCAGTTCATTTTCAGTAAATATAATGCTCCATGAGTTGTTGATCACAGATTACAACTGAACAATGCCTGAATAAAATCAGGCTTCAGATTTCATATTAGAATATTAGATCCTGACTTTTGACCTCTGATTGTCACAAGTGCAAAATATTCCCTAATCTTTCCCCATCCTTCTGCATTCAACTGCACATCCTAGAACGATAATATTGAAGATCTATTTAATGTTTTACCTTTGCAGTGATATGTCTTGTCATTCCCTTGATGATCTGAAGAAGCATTTTGAAGGTTTAATTCTACTTGGAATATTTTCTGTTCGGTTCCTGAAATGGAGCTTTTATTGCCCTTAAGTTTCCTTTGCTGCCTCCCTGGCTCCTGGGCCAGACTCACTTCAGAGTAGGTTCCTCTTTGTTTATTCATCTCTGCAGCCGTGTGATGTCAGGGACTGTGCTCTATGATAACTGCTCTTAAGAAGTTATAAATGGTGTATATTTTGACAGGATCCCTGGTATAGGCAAACTGCATGTGTTGGTGGCTGAGTAATAATGTTCATTTTGCTGTTGACCAATATAAAAGTCTAGTACCAATTTCCTAAAGTTTTAAACTGAAATCTCTTTAAACAATAGGTCATTTTTTAAAAGGTATTCTGTATTTGACACAATATTATTAATGGGAACAATAAAAAACAATACGTTTGTGAAAACTAAGAAGTAAATGAAAATAAATATCCTCATTAATTTAAAGTGAAATTCTACAGAAATATTTTATCACCAATACCTGTGTAAAAACACTAAAATTGAAATCTGAAAATAAAATGCACTAATTGTATGACAATTTTAAAATTCATTAATGTAAGGATTGAGTGCTAAAGATGGAGGAATGGTTTGTTAGCGTATAGAGCAACTTTTAATACTAAAGTACATTAAGTTAGTGACTTACGTTCATTTACTAAAAGGGCATAAGGTCTTGGCAAATGTTTTTTATTCTGAATGATTGAGGACATCAGAAAAACTGTTAAAATTTTAAAGAAATATTTTATACCTTGTGAAACATTACATTAACTTAGGCATAAATTCATTACTATAGAAAATCATTTAACTGCTTATTTTACAGAATTGATTGCTAATTGGTTTAATGGATAAAATAGGAAAACTGGAAATGATAAATGTAAGTTTGGACCATCTATGAAAGAACACTTTAGGTTCAAACTTTCAGAAAGATCCTGTGGCTGTTTTAAAAGGCAATGAGGGTCACTTTGGTTGTGTAAGTAATTGTAATAAATCAGAAAATATAATTTAATAATCTAGTCAATGAGCTCTGTAGCCAGTGAGACCTAAAATTAATTAGAGCTTTGAAACTCATAATGCATGACCGTTTACAAAGTTACTTAGTGTCTACAACCCCAGTTTACTAATCTAGATTGGGGAAAGTAATTTATAAAGTATAATGTATGTAAAACACTTACACAACCTGGCACACATTAGCCCTCAATTATTTATTTTTAATTTATAATTTAATTTATTTATAATTTAATTTATTTAAAATTTAATTATTTTCAACACAATTGCCATTTTATTATTTCTAATTCATACTGATTGTGTAAAATAACTAATTAGGTAGGAGACTGATATCAGTGTAGTACATCTTTTCTGCAATGTTTGTTTGGCTCAATTTTTTTAAGTCATCCTATTATTTATAATTAAGATTAGATTTGCATTTTATGGAAACTACTTCATTATTGTTTTCTTAAAAAAATAAAATCTGCTTCAATTAAATATGTGTATGAGAAATTATGTTTGACATTCACAATTTGATGTATATTGATTATTAAAGTCTGGGCTACATATAAAGTATTATTACATCCATAATGATTATAAAATTTCAAATTAATTCTTCATTGTCATGATATTTATTGGTTACACTCTAAATTATACTGATCAACAAACCTATTATTATGTATGCATGTACTTGACTAATTCTCCACAGGCAATCATGTAAATACTTTTAAAAATCCTCAAACACATGTTATATTTTGGGTTGTTTTTCACCCTGAATTATTCATGTAAAGACAGTTCTAATTTGATTTTATTCTGTATTAACTTTACCTTGTTGCATCACATTTAATATTTACAATCTTCTACTAAAAGGGATGTCTCTGGGAAGAATAAATTATTAAACAATATTGTACTATATCACCACGCCAGATTGAAATATAAAAATCCATTCATTATATTGTTCATTGATTTATTTTCCAATCATAACTGTCTGCATTTTAATAGGAATATTTGTTGTAAATGACTAATGCTTAAATCAAACTATATAGAGAGGGAAAAGTAATTTTTAAAATGTCACTTAGTTAAAAATAGGGAGGGCAGAAAAAGTAGATTTTAAAAACACAAGCTAAATGGTACATGAGCACTCAGGTGCGGTGGCTTATGTCAGTAATCCCAGCAACTTGGGAGAGCAAGATGTGTAGATTTCTTGAGCTCAGGAGTTCAAGACCAGCCTGGTCAACATGATGAAATCCCATCTCTACAAAAAAATACAAAAATTAGCCAGCATGGTGGTATTTTCCTGTAGCAAGTTACTCTGGTGGCTGAGGTGGGAGGATCGCTTGAGCCTTGGAGGTAAAGTGGAGGGTGCAGTGAGCTAAGATGAAATTTACTGAAATTGGGGAAATATGCTTCATAATGATAAATTAATTTTCCAAACCATTAGTAATATATTTTTATCATTGCATATACCTAATGATACAAATTCAACATATAATTGAATAAAGTGAACAAGTAAACAATCATAAATGGGATTTTAAAGACTCTTCTCTTGATGCTTAATACAAGACAGGCCAGTGAGCCTGTAGAAAGATTTAAACTAGACAAGTAACTATCACTCATATGAATACATTCACACACGCACTCACACATATACCCACTAGGAAAGCTTGGCCAGGAGACAGTCGAAATGTACCTATTCAAATTTAACATTAATTAATAAAAAGTAAAAAACATTTAAAACCACTACCTCACCACATGAACCACATTTATAGAGGGATGAACATTTCCAGTTTCATAGAAAATGTTCTAACTATATTTTACCTACTATAGAAGTCAATAAACAAAAATCTGAGAACCTTATATGGTTTTTATTTCAGTAATGTATGTCTAAATAACATATGGGCCAAATAAATTATCAAGATGAATGGTCACAAAAGATTCATCACTAAAGGAAGATTTTGAAAAGGCACAGATATTTTATTTCTAGTTTAAACATGGCAATACCATTATGGTATTTACAGTTATTAAACAGGCAATAAAACTATATTATCAATGTATTTAATGTCCATATGAAATGGAAAATTCCTAGGAAATGCTCATTACCAAAATATAGTACCTCAAATAGAAATCTGAGTAAACTCTACATGTACTGAAGACATTAGTTTAGACATAAACTTTTCTACAAAAATAGCCTGCAAACTCAGATGGCATCACTAGTGAACGATAACATTTAAAAATAAAGTGGTACTCTTCATTATTATTATTATATTTTGAGTTCTAGGGTACATGTGCACAATGTTCAGGTTTGTTACATAGGCATAGGTGTGCCAGGTTGGTTTGCTGCACCCATCAACTTGTCATTTACATTAGGTATTTCTCCTAATACCTAATATAAAAGGTATTATGTATTAAGTATTTCTCCTAATACCTCCTTCCCCAATCCCCCACTCCCCGACAGGCCCCGGTATGTGATGTTCCCCTCCCTGTGTCCATGTGTTCTCATTGTTCAATTCCCACCTATGAGTGAGAACACGTGGTGTTTGGTTTTCTGTCCTTGTGATAGTTTGCTGAGAATGATGGTTTCCAGCTTCATCCATGTTCCTGCAAAGGACATGAACTCATCCTTTTTCATGGCTAAAGCAGTACTCTTAACAGATGCTTCCAGGTTATAGAAAAAGAGAAAATCTTCCCAAGATAGCCTTGAGACCAAAACTTTTTCAAGTACATAGCTATAAATAAAAACATAGTCAAATATCCTTGTGAACATGGATAAAGAAACAAATCTTACCCTAGATAAAATATGTGCACTGATATTTTATAAGGGGCAATATACAATGATCTGCATGGATTTGTTTCGGAAACAAAGCCTAGTTTAACATTTGACAAAAATAAAACTAATTTATTTTATAAAATGTTGTATAAAGAAAACACATATCATTCTGAGTAACAAAAAATAAAAATGTTACAACAATTGATAAAATCTATTAGAAAAAATGAATATTATAAAACTGCTTCAATATAAGAAAGATGTGATTTAAAAAGACCAAACTTTGTAAATATGAATAATACGTTGAATTATTTTTTGCCAAAACCAGAAAATGATACATATGATACACGCAAAATTTGATGGTACCTTCTATTCGACTATGAATATAAAGCACTAGCCAGAGAAAATAAATGAAGAAAAAAATAAGTTATGGCACATGGATAGAAAAAATAAAAGTGTGATTATTTGCAGATAAAATTGCTGTTTATATAGAAAATCCAGAAAAATCTATGTTTGAAATGATAGATTTAAATATGTAAAATAAGTGAAATAACTAGGTACAAAATCAAAATGCAGACATCAATTGTATTACTATTTACAGTAACAAAAATTATTAAAGGGAATATTAAAATCAGAATGCCATTTACAAAAGCATGAATGTAAAATATCTGCATTTCTGTATGATTCAATCCCCCAAAATATATAATATAATAGAGAGAAATTAAAGAGATCCCAGTACATTGAACCCAGTACATTGAAGGGCACAGTATGATATTGATTGGAAAAGTCAAGAAGCTAGTCTTTAAATATTACTTTAGAGGTTAAATGCAGACTCAAGCAATCCCAGGACAGTATTATTATTTTTTTTTTTTGGAGAGCTTTATTGAGGTATCGTGTACATGGTATAAATTTCATCCGCTTAAAATAATTAAAAATCAGTGATTTTTAGTATATTCACAGAGTTACAACCATCACCACTACTGAAATTTAAAAAGTTTTCATCACTGACACAAAGAAACATTCTAGCAATTAGTGGCCACCTCCTATTTCAACCTCCCTTAGGCATTGGCAGCGCTCTTTTACTTTCTTTCTCCATGGTTTTGCTTGTTCTTGACACTTCATATAAACTGACCCGCAAAACATGCAACTTTTAGGAAGTCCGAATGCCACAAACATGTTTAGTAAAATGAACCCGACCTAAATGCTAGGATATCTGTACTTCTTAAATTGTGTGCATTATATTTCAATAATCGATTTAGAATTTTCTTATTATTAGGGCAAATAATGCAATTCATTTTAAGACTTATGCAATCATATCATTTCTATGTTAACAAATATAAAATTTATCTGATGCACTGCAAACTCAAATACTTTCATTCTAAAGCTTTTGCTTACAATAATATCTTTTTGAAGATCCACACTGGACTGATTTAAGTCTATCTAGATGTAGCATTGCACAGTTATATTCAGCATGATTTGAGTCTTTTATCCTGTAATGGAGAAAAATCCATAATTCTGTTACATTTTATGCAAACGATTCATGAGACAAGAACATTTTTCATGTACTGTAAGAAAACAAGTTTAAGAAAAAGGGTAATTAAATTTTTCATATACTATTACTAAAAGTCATTATTCTGAAAACTCAATAAAGTAGTCCTCCCTTCATCCACGGGGGATATGTTTCAAGACCCCAGTGGATGTCTGAAATGGCAGATAGTACAGAACCTATAGAGAGATTGTGTTGTGTCTACACATTCCTAAATATGATAAAGTTTAATTTATAAATTAGGCACAACAAGAGATTGACAACAATAACTACTAATAAAAAATTATAAGCAATATGCCAACAGCAGTACTCTTGTACTTTGAGGATATTCTTAAATAAAATAAGGGTGGCTTTTTAATGAAAACAAGCACTGTAATTCCCTGATAGTCCATCTCAAGCTCGTCCAACTCACGGACCATGGACCACATGTGGCCCAGGCAGCTTTTAATGTGGCTCAACACAAATATGTAAACTTTCTGAACACATTCTGAGATATTTTTGCAATTTTTTTTGTTTAGCTCATCAGCTATCATTAGTGTTAGTGTATTTTATGTGTGGCCCAATACTATTCTTCTAATGTGGCCCAGAGAAGCCAAAGATTAGACATCCCTACTCCATCTCATAACCAAGAAAGTTACTAGCTGACCAATGAGCGGTTGACATATAGGGACTACTATGGACTATTGTGAAATATTTATATCAACATTTCACTAACTTTCCACATCTTTCTTCATGTATATGATTCCACATAAATTTATTCATATTAGTCTTCTGAATTTATCCTTTATATATATTGTTATATAGCACCGTACAAAACAACTTACTCATGTTTGAAAGTCAGACCGTTGATTGTCACCCATGGATGATGACTGCTGTCACGAAACACACCAATCCATGTGGATGGTGAAATGGCAGTCAGAAATTTCTAAAAGAAAAGAAAGAATTTTCACTTAAATAATACTTATGAAAACATTATAAAAACAATATATTAAAGTTGAAGACCACTATTTGCGGTACCAAAAACTTTCATAAATGTTTATGATTTTGATATAAATGAACTCTTCAATGTTTATACTTAGTACTTTCATTGTCATTTTCATGTTAATAAAGACATTTTAATTCTTGCATTATAATAGTTACCCCAATTGACTGAATAAACCCAGGAAGGATTTAAATAAGTTTCCTGATACCGTGCATTCATTCCTCCAGATACTGTGACGAAATCAATCTATTTTTGTACTATATGTTCCAGAGTTGGAGATTTAGAAGGAAATGAGAGGTTGTCATTCAGAAATAAATGACATAGAAGCTACAGATTGTGTTTTCTGGGTACCACACCATTCTTTAACTAGATAAGCCCTCACTTTTTTATCTGATTTGGTTTTGGTGGAATAACAGTGGTCCTGACCAGGTGATGTAGACTCATCTCTCTCTGCTACTCCCTACTAAAAATAACTATAAACTCTGGGATTAATGAAAGACAAAAGCAATGGAGAACTCTGAAAGGTGGAAAGAGATAGATGAAATTGTCTGGGACCCTATCATCAGGATTCAACAAAGTATCTGAGCGAGCATGTGAAGTCCCCCACACGACAGAAGAAGGTGACCTAGGCCTGCTGTTTCCCCACACCCAACCTGGCAACAGGAGGAGGCCCAGCAAAGCTCACTCCTGCTCTGTATTGAAGGGGAGTCCCCTCCACAACACCAGGCGAGGCTGGTACCACTGGCAAGGATGATCTACCAGGAGACCTGCTATCAATACAGCCAGAGGAAGTGCTTCCTTCTCATTCCAAGAGACACCAGGGTGGATGTGGGTGAGGAGGATCAGCAAAGCCACCCATGACTACCAGTGCACCACCCAGGGTCCTCTTTGTCCCTGAGGGCAGGAGACCCACTTCCCCATCCAGAGACAAGGACTCAATGGATTCTTAGTGTTCTTTGCATATAGTACAGCAGTGAACAGTAACATACTACTGATAACTGCAATAATATGGAAGAATTGCACAAATATCAGATAGGAGTGAAAAACACAGACATGAAATTCACATTGTATGATTCCCTTTTTATAAATTCAAGAACAGGCAAATGTTATTTATAATATTAAAAGTCAAGACAGTGTTTTGGAGAGGAGTCAGGGTAAGTGATGAGTGTATACACAGGGGTGGAACTGCTAGAGCTGGAAACTTTTATTTCATGATCTGATTTGTATCACATGAGTTCCTGCACTTTGCGATCGATCTGCATGACCAGATCATATCATGCCCGATAAAATTAGATGCAACATTTATTGTGTATTCAAAGTATTTATAGAAGCATGGTTTTCCTTGAAAACAAAAACTGAAAATAAAAGTACATTAGCAGTATATAACTTTAAAAACATTATTAAGTCAATCAATTGAATATTACATAAACTTGAAAATATATAAGATAATTATATGTACACACACGGATGTTTCCTACAAATGTATTATTCACTGAAAGAAGCTTTTCATAAAATCTTTGAAACATTTATATCTTACCATTTCTTCTTCATTATCTATAGAAAGCAGACTAGAGTTCTTTGAAGTACAGGCCAGCAAACTCTCTGCCCAAGTTCTTTTTTCCTTGCCAATGTAATAACAACTGTTGGAATATGTAATCCACTCCTCAGGACAATGGCCACAGTGACGTACTAAATAAAGATATGAATTACTATGCAGAACAATATGAATGTTTACAGATGAAAATTAGTTTACATATTTGCAACAGTATAAACCTGTATGTGCTTAACATATTTATGCATCCTTACCGGCTTATAAATATATATTTTTAAATAACCGAGTCAGTCATACACACATGCACAGACAAGGGTTAGCCTCTCATCCCTAACTGTGTTCCCATATAAAGCAAACCAACAAACAAAAATACACTCTCCACATGTCTTGAACATCACTGATACACAACTGCTTTTTTAGGATAGTAAAATTATTCATTTCATATCATCTCATAGCAGTAGGAAACTTCTGTTAATTGGGAGAAAGAGGGTAGAATGATTTTAAGTGAGCATTTCTACTTATTGGAGAAAAGGAAATGCTGCCTTATAATCTTTGTTTATAAATATTTATGGCTGAATTTTATGGCTTATTTTCTGCAAAAATGCCATCATTCTTTTACATGCCTTAAACCAGACACAAAATATAAATTGTACTAATATCAGAACATTTAAAATAAATATGTACCTTTCTGGGTTCTTGTATTCGGGAAAGAATTGTTCTGCTCCAGGACTGTAATAGAAAAATTAAAATGAGTTTTATAAAAACTAGTATCTAGATAAACCATAATGAGTTTAGTTTCTTACTTTGAAACTTTGTGTGTTATTTAAATTGGGGACAGTCTTTAATAAAATTCACTTTTTCTATAAAAATAAATGACTAGATCTTCGAAAGAAATATTTTTAAAGACTTTAGCACAAAACTTCACCATCTCTTGTAGTATTTGACGTAACCACTTTCAAAAATTAATTTGTTTTTCTAAATACTTTTCTCCTATAGCATGCATTTTAATTATGAATTCAGAAAATACGTTGTATGTGTATGTGTGTGTATATATAGATATATAGATTACATACACACAAAAAACAAACACATATTCTCTACAATGATTTTGTTATTTATGTTGTGAAAAATTCAGAATAACCATATTACTTTTGGTTCCAAATTATACTAATATCTGAACGTTGAAAATAAAAATGTACCTTTCTGGGTTCTTGTATTCGGGGAAGAATTGCTCTGCTCCGGTTTATCTACCAGAGAATTGCTCTGCTATGGTTTATCTACTAATACCTAGATAAACCATAACAAGTTTAGTTTCTTACTTTGAAACTTTGTGTGTTATTTAAAATGGGGACAATCTTTAATGAAATTAACTTTTTCTATAAAAATAAATGAAGTAATAGATCTCTGAAATTAACGTTACAATGAGAGTTCTATTCTTCAACAGTATGAAATATTTTGAGGCACTTCCAAGCATTAAAGTAAAATGTTCCCATCTAGTCTTTCAAGAATGTGCTTACAAGGAATAAGAACCACTGTTTTTAACACAGTGGCCATCAGGACAATGCAAATGATTCCCAGGACCTCAGCAGTGAGCTTCTCTGGAGGTGGCAGTAAACCTGCAGGGAGAGAAATAGAGGCACTGAGAGAGGGGAGATAGAGAGTTGATTAGGATTCCATACTAGAGAACCCACATGCACAGGGAAACATAATGATAACCTCTGGCCTCTAAATCTACATCTACTCTGGTAATCTTTCTCTCAGAATATACCAGTTCATTTTCAGAAAACATAATGTTCCATGAGTGGATTGCCGATTACGGTTGAACAATGCCCTAATAAAATTAGTCTTCTGATGTCATATTAGAATATTAGATCCCAATTATGAACTCTGATTCTCACAAGTGCAAAATATTCCCTAATCTTTCCCCACCCTTCTGCATTCAACTGCACGTCCTAGAACAATAATATCGAAGATCTATTTAATGTGTTACCTTGGCAGTCATATATTTGATCAATCCCTTGATGATTCAGAGAAGGATTTTGAAGGTTTAATTCTACTTGGAATATTTCCTGTTCGGTTCCTGAAATGGAGCTTTTATTGCCTTTAGGTTTCCTTTGCTGCCTCTTTGGATCCTGGGCCAGACTCACTTCTGAGAAGGTTCCTCTTTGTTTATTCATCTCTGCAGCTGTGTGATGTCAGGGACTGTACTCTATGATAACTGCATTTAAGAAGCTATGAGTGGTGTATATTTTGACAGGATCCCTGGTATAGGCAAACTGCATGTGTTGGGGCTGAGCAGTAATGTTTACTTTGCTGTTGACCAGTGTAAAATGCTGGTACTAATTTCCTAAAGCTTTAAACAAAAATCACATGATATAACTGGTAATTTTTTAGATGTATTCTGTATTTGACATAATATTACTAGTGGGAACAATAAAAACATTAAACTTGTGAGATAGGAAGTTCATTAAAAAAATATTTGTGTTAAATTAAGGTTAGATTCTTCAAAAACACAACACCAACAGACTGCATGTGTTAACAATTAAAATACTGTATTTAGTAATACACAAATTTTATTATAGTTTTAGGATTCATTGATGGTTAAGGATGGTGTGCCATAAGATAAAATAATTCTGCTAGCATATAGAGTAACTTCTTATACTAAATTTCTAAATTAGGAAATCAGAAAAACCATTAAAATTTTAAAAATACATCTCATATCTTGTAAAACATTACATTACCCTATGCATAAACTAAATACTATTGAAAACAAAATATATTTTGAATTGCTTCTTTTACACAAGAAATTGATAATTGATTTAATGATTGAAATAGGAAAACCTAAATGATAAATAAACGTGTGGGCCATCTATGGAAGAACAGTGTCCAATCAAACTTTCAGAAAGCTCCTATGGTTGTAGAAGTCAGTGAGGGTCGCTTTGGATGTATAAGTAATTGTAATAGTTCAGATAATGTAATTTAATAATAATTTAATAATCTAGTCAATGATCTCTAGTCAGTGAGACTACAGTTAATTCTAGCTTTGCAAGTTTTAATGTGTGACATTTAGTAAATTACTTAGTGTCTATTAACGTACTTTACAGTGGGAAAAATACTTTATAAAGTATAATGTATGTAAAAAACAAAACACACAATCTGGCACATATTAGCACTGAATACCTAATAGACATTTTAACTATTTGTAACACAACTGCCATTTTATTATTTCTGATTAGCATTAGAGTGTGTAAAATCACTCATTAATTAGGCATCTCATGTCAGTGTGGTACATCTTTTTTGCCATGTTTGGTTCAATTGTTTTAAGTCTTTCAATTGTTTATAATTCAGGTCAGATTTGCATTTTATGGAAATGATTTCAACCTTGCTTTTATTAAAAATTAAAACTGCTTTCATTAATTCTAGGTATGTGATTGAAAATTAGGGTTTGACATTCACAATTTGAGGTATCCATTTCAAAAATTTATTTTTAAAGGCTGGTCTAAATGTAATACACAGTTAAAACAGTAATGATTATAAAATCCAAAATGAATTGTTCATTGTCATGATGGTTATGGGTTTCACTCTGAATTACATTGATTGACAAACGTATTATTATGTATGCATCTACTTGAGTGATTCTCCACAGGCAATAACTCTAAGAAATTCTCAAACATATTTTATATTTTGGCTCGTTTTTCACCTTGAATTATTCACATGAAAAGAGTTCTACCTTGATTTTACTCTATATAAACTTTACCTCAGGTGCATCACAGCCAGTATTTACAAACTTCTACTAAATTAGAGGAGCAAGTAGAGAAACTGGGAGAGTAGCAACACATATACCTTCTGTCACCAGAAAGCCACACGCCCTTCAGTGGAGAGGTCAGGTTACCTCCTAAAGACACAAACCTTATCTGTGATCTTCACAGACTGCCCTTTGAAGGGTCAGAGTGAGGCAAGAGTGGAAAAAGTAGATTCCTCGCCAATGTGTTACTTCAGATTTGAACAGGAAATTCTCACCCTAGGGCTATTTTGAATGAGTTTATCTCATCACACATTTTATAATACATGAGGCTTTGGGTGGTTAGTGTGGCATTTAGTCTGTCCATTTTCAAGTGCCTCTTAGAGAAATTATTTTAATGATCGACAGGGTCGGGGGAGAGCAGAGATTTAACCCATGGAGTTGATTGTTTCCATCTCAGTCACATTCACCAAAATCTTGTAACTTTTTAAAAGTATCTTAGATGGTTACTTTCTACATTTAGACAAGGTGGCTAAAACTTGGCATTGTATACTTCTTTATCATATACCCCTATAATATCACTGCTATCATAATAATAAAATTTAAATAATAATCTTATCAATCGGAATTTAATGTACTTGTCACTGTTTTGAGAAAATGTTACATTTTCAACTTAATTGTAACTGACATGAATTCTCAAACTTATCTTCTTGATTTCTTTGCCGTAGTTCTTAAAATTCCCTCATTCATTTTTCTTCTTTATGTAAGTTAACCAGATTCCTCTGACTAAAATAAATGTCTCTTGAAGGAATAAAATATTAAACAATACTGAGCTATATCTCTATGCCAGAGACTGCAATAATAAAAAACTACTCACTATATTGTTCACTGATTCCCTCTCTAATAATGACTTATTGTCTGCATTTTAATAGAAATATGTGTTGTAAATGATTAAAACTTAAGTTAAACTAAGTAGGGAGGTAAAAGCAATTTTAAAGACATCACTACATAAAAATGGGGAGGCCAGAAAACGGAGATTTTTAAAGCATAAGTAAAATTGTACGAGTGCCGGGGCGCGGTAGCTCATGTCAGTGATCACAGCATCCAGAATCACTTGAACTCAGGAGTTCGAGGCCAGCATGATACAGAGGATGAAACCCCTTCTCTCAAAACAAATACAAAAATTAGCCGAGGATGCCGGTGCTTGCTTGTAGTCCCAGCTGCTCTGGAGGCTGAGGCAGGAGGATCGCTTGAGCCCTGGAGGTCGAGGCTACAGTGAACTGAGTTAGTGTTGCTGCACTGCTGCCTGGGCGACAGAGCCAGATCTTGTCTCAAAAATAAACAAACAAAATTGAAAAAATAAATGATACATGAACATCAGGAAAAATACTATAA